CAAGAATCCGCTGAATGCCATGCAGATCTTGTGGATCAGTAAGTACTCTTGGGTCTAATTCCACTGCCTGTTTCTCTAACGATTAATACAGATATTCTCATGGATGGCCCGCCCGCCCAGTCCCTAGGCGTCGAGCCCGTCGACCCCACCATCATGAACCGCCCGCCACGACCCAAGACAGCCCGTGTTCTGACAAAGCCTCTAATCCAGCGCGTCCTCACCTCAGCCATGATCATCATGATTGGCACATTGTCAATCTACATTCACGAAATGGGTGATCTCACCGACAGCAGCAGCCCCATCGAGAAGCGCTCCCGCGTCGTAACCGCGCACGACACCACCATGACATTCACCTGCTTCGTTCTATTCGACATGTTCAACGCATTGACCTGCCGCAGCGAGGGCAAGTCTGTCCTGCGCGGTGAAATGCCGCTGTTTGGAAACAAGATGTTCAATTACGCTGTTCTCGGCTCCTTGGCAGGTCAGGCCTGCGTGATCTACCTGCCGTTTCTGCAGCGCATCTTCCAGACCGAGGCTCTCAGCTTCGGGTCCCTGCTCAAGCTGGTCTGCATTGCCAGTTCGGTGTTCTGGGTGGACGAAGGCCGCAAGTATTTGCATGCGATCCGCCGTCGGCGTGGGGTGGGTTCCGGTTATAGCGTCAATGTCTGATCTGCCGATGCGACGGCTGTACGGTTCGGATTGCCTATTACGATTTTAGAGATGTCCATGCCATAGGCATGTGTAGTTTTATCATATTTGGATCGATATCCCCATATACATAATAGAATGATCGGTCGTCGGCATATATTCGTGTTTCTCGTAAGTGATCTGCAGATCGGTACAGTTTTGTAGCCCTGTATAAGATGCTGTTTAAGCCGGTAATAGTCGGCCGCTTACGCAGTCTCTACCCTTGACGTACTTCATAATCCGATCCATTGAGTTTAGAATAGTGTAAGGATGTTCTAAATCTTTGGGATTCTTCTACGATGCCCCTTTGGATGTCTGTTTTGGATGTTTCCGCCCCTTTTTTTTTTGGTGGTGCAAACGTGTAAAATGCTGCAAAGCGACCTTTCTATATACACATGCGACTGTTCCAGCCAGCGTGGCAAGATATAATCTTCTCTTCGCCCTGTTAGACTCCATTATCATCGTCCCGACTAGGAAGGGAGCAATTTTGATCGCTTATCACCTCTGCCAGGCGATAAGTCGATATACCCCATCGACCCTTACTTCTGTTTCCGCTTTTTTGCCTTCCTGAAATATAAGCGAAGTCAATTCACTGCCTGAGAGAACGTACGTAAAAGCCTAGCAAAGCTTGTTTTTCTCCCCCCAATCCATGTTCTTATACTCGAGTAGTGATATATATGCGCAGTAGAATCATAATGTTAGGGCTACCTTACATTCCGAATTGGCTCTAATAGTTCTAGTATGAACCTTATGGTGCTAGGAAATCTTCCATTTTTCTCATTCGATACATTCAGATGTCTATATTTTAAGGCTAGATACTTCATCTTTCTAGCTATAACACCTAGGAGGGAGAAAGATGTTCAAAAGGACATCTAGAAAGACAACCAAAAAGCATCTCGTGTTATCATAAGTATGATGTCTCTAATAATATTATCTTGAGCTCGGTAGATCGGATGAAGTCCGTCCTCAAGCACAACCATGTAGACATGATAGGCGAGCAACAACCTTGGGACGATCAAGTACCCTCACTCGATGTGATTTAGGAAGCGACTGCAGCGATCATGAATAGGAATAAGGAGGATTGGTCACCAAGACGTTGCACACTGTAGGGCTCTCAAACTATTTTCCCCTTTCCCTCGCTCTTCGACTTACTTTCAAACCCCGTCACCCCGAACCCAGCATGTCTTCGGACTATGATGCACCAAGTATCGAAATTTCCGACGTGAAACTCGTTTGTATCATCAAACAGACGGACAGAGCGTTTCTGTGCCGAGCGAGCCCGCTGGCAAGACAAAGACTGCGTGCTCAAGGTGGTAAGTGACGGAGTCATATAGCGCGCCCATCTCTAACAGGTCTGGTAGTCCCATCCTTATAAACGGGAAAGGTTCGAACCACCGTTCCGTTCCATCGATCTTTTCAAAAACGAGAGCCGCGCATATAGTCGATTGAAGTCCCGAGGCTTTTGTGAATGAGGATATGTACCGGACTTCTATGGGGTAGTGGAGAATATTGACCCTGAGGCGAAGGGCTGGCAACCTGAAGTGAAGAAATTTTGTGATAGAACTTTTCCTCAGGGTCTTGATCCCAAGGCTCGCCCAAATGGTGTCCTGATGGAATACATTCCTGATGTGAACATGTTTAAGCTCTCTAACTGCACGGAGCAAAGAGCTTGCAAGCTCCAACAACTCCTAACTGAAATTCATGAGGCTGGGACTGTACACCTTGATCCTTATCCCCGGAACATGCTGATTCAGGTTGATTCTGATCGGGTACTCTGGATTGACTTCGAACTTGCCCAGATATTTGACCCGGATAACAAAGAGCACCCAGCACCCTAGATCTTTTTGATGATGAAAGCACATTTATGGGTGCCTTCATGGAAGCGCTGGTAAGTTTGCCAGTCCAGGTCTGATTTCAGGTTTCCGGCTGACTTCTTTTGCAATTGTAGGACAGAGATCATAAGCTAGGGAAGTACAAAGAAACGCGGGCGATCTTTTTTCAGTGATTCCCGAGGGGCGGAATTTTGACAACACTCTTGCGCCATTCCATCAATGTCTCCTTTTTGAAATGTCTGTTTTGCGGAAAGATACTCACTTTCTGTCGTCGTGCTGAGGCTGATACCAATTGCATTACCTCTGGGTTCCAGATACGCTTTCTTAATCATTCTTCGATTCGGGTTCTGCATACCTTCTATTCTATGAATGGTTACAAGAAAAGAACTACATAAGTGTATTTCCCTTGCCCACGGAACAAAAACGAATATCCCTTCAATGTATATACCTGGCAGGAGCAAAAATCGAATGACCGACGCAGGGATCGAACCTGCAATCTCTTGATTCGTAGTCAAGCGCCTTGCCATTGGGCCAGCCGGCCTGCTATGTATGATTTGGACATATTGTGTTTTATAAGAAAATCTTGAAAGGGGACCCAGTCTGCATGCGTGTTATTGGTCCGTTCGTAATCGCTTAAATTCACCTGGGCAGTATTCGTTATTAAGTATAATTGTAATGGATAACTAGTAGTTGTACCTCGTGTTGTTATCTTTGCTTTGGTGGCAGGAATACTTACATACAGATGTAGTTCATTGGGATTTGGTGAGTATCATAGCCGATGTCGCTGAAGCAATATATGTAGTACGTATTTTGGATGTTTTTGAATTCAAGACAATTCCCATAGGGTATAACCTATGGATGGGTTCTAGATATACTAGTCTGTATACAGAGAACAATCAAGCTAGAGAGGGTCCCGCCTCCATACCCAAAGGCATGGGAATTTCAAACTAGCATCGCTATAAATATCCCGAGTGTGAAAATGTAGAATTGTTCTCGACCCCGACGGGGAGAGGCTGAAGACCCCACGGGAGTGGGTCGACTAGCTGACACTGCAGGACAAAGAGATAAGGCGAATCAGGGTAATTCTTCCTGCAGATAAAAGATTGAAACACGTAAATATGACAATCTTCCCCTTGAATATTTGAATATCTGGATTGCTCGTATTTCGTGTATATTGTACATGTGCGAGTACTCACCGCATAGTATGTACATAGATAGGGTCAAGACTCCGGCATCGGCCATGATCCGAACGCGGCCAAAGAAAAGATAAAGTGAAGATTCCCTGCCGGACCCGGGGATCGGGAAAAAACGGAAAGCCAAGAGAAGCCTGTGGACGGGACCCTTATCTGTCGCCAATCGTTGGCTCATTCCCACTTCGACACGCTAATACTAAAAAGGAAAGGCTTAGCTTACGGCCGAGCCCCACTTAGTGCGAGTGGCAAGTTGGACTTTATCTGTAGCCAATCACATCCACGAGAATCCAGCGTCACTCGTCCAATTGCTGGTGGCGGATAGGAATTTTGATGGAATTTGAACTGATATCCGTGTGAAGATAAGCCTCTTCTCCAGAATCTCGGACTCTACGATTCTATTCTGTACAGGAAGGGGTACGGAGTCCCTGCAGGATATCTGTGATAAGCTATCTAGCTATCGTATTTAGAGGAAGAGGAATTGGTTCTCTTTAAAGATATATAAGAAGTAGACCCATGTCCGCAGAGGTAGTGGAATCTACTTCCCCGAACCCCAGGAACTATTCCCCGGAGTCGAGTCACTGCTGAATGGTACATGGGATCATAATCTACATGTAATCTCCAGTGAGCAGATATATCCCTCCAAGCAAGGCCAAGGCTTGAACTATTGGCATGGGCAGACCCATACTTATCATCCCTTGCCACATTATCTTGCGGCCGTCTACGCCGGGGATGACGAGGTTGATGACAATGTGTTAATGTGTTAATGTGTTAATTATCTATACAGAAATCAAAATCAAAATCAAAAACCTTATATATCCAAACCTGGAGAGAAATATGGAGAGAGAGAGAACTGGGGATACTATTATCGGGATTATCCCATTGCTATTGTCACAATCTCTGACCAAACCACTTTAACCAACATTTTTCAACTATCTCCGATTTTCTCCCTCTAACCGCGCCTTGCCATATTTATTTTTTTCTTACGGACATGTTTCATGACTCTCTTTTAACTTTTCGTCTCTGGGCAGTGCTTTTTTTCTGGGAGAATTGCTTTTGAATTGCCTACTTTTGCTTACTATTTGATTTTGAGAAGGGGACCCACCGTCGATCCGACTTATCTCTGGATTTTCTGGTTCGAAGAAGTTTGGGTTTCCTTAATTTTTATATTCGTGGCGAATTTCCTCTCTTTCCTTAACTTCTGGAACTTCCATCTTTTTTTGTTTCTTGCATTTGAACACTTATACCCTACGCATCTTCAACTTCAAAGACTCGAGCTTCTCAAATCACAATGGCGTTCAGCGGGAAAGCCCCGTACGCCCCGGACTATGCCTCCTACAACTGGATCGGAGCTCCTGCCAACTACGATCTCTCGACCAACGCAGACTTGGGCGGCGATTCCCGTATGAGTATTTCCTGCCTCGTTAAGGGAATGACAATCTAATATTTGTTCCCTACCTAGGCACCGAAAATGTTAACAAATGGTTTCAATCTGGCGACCAGGCCTACATCATCGTGGCCTCGGCCATGGTCATGGTCATGATCCCCGGTCTCGGCTTTCTGTACTCGGGATTGGCTCGCCGAAAGTCTGCCCTTAGTATGATCTGGGCTTGTATGGCGTCCTTGTCCGTCGTGACCTTCCAGTGGTATTTCTGGGGTTATTCGCTTGCTTTCTCCCCGACTGCGACCAACGGTTATATCGGCAACTTGCGCAACTTTGGTTTAATGAAAACATTGGCTGATCCGAGTCCCGGCTCTCCACTGGTTCCTAACTTGCTCTACGCATTCTATCAGGTAAGATCGAAGATTGGGAATCATTGATCTGGTTTCTTGTACCCAGGCCAATACTGATCATTAATCTCTAGATGCAATTCTGTGGTGTTACTGCTGCTATCGTCATGGGAGCTGTCGCTGAACGCGGTCGGCTTCTTCCTGCCATGGTATTCGTCTTCCTCTGGGCTACTATCGTTTACTGTCCGCTAGCTTGCTGGGTCTGGAACGTCAACGGCTGGGCATTCAAGTACGGCGTGATGGATTACGCCGGTGGTGGTCCCGTCGAAATCGGTTCTGGTTTCACAGCTCTGGCCTATTCGATGGTCCTCGGTCGCCGACAGGAACGCATGATGCTCAACTTCCGCCCACACAACGTCTCTCTCATCCTCCTCGGCACAGTCTTCCTGTGGTTCGGCTGGCTCGGTTTCAACGGTGGTTCGGCGTTTGGAGCTAACCTGCGCGCAACCATGGCCTCCTGGAACACCAACCTGACTGCCGCCTTCGCGGCCATCACCTGGGTTCTGCTCGATTGGCGTCTGGCTCGCAAGTGGTCGATGGTCGGCTGGTGTTCCGGTACAATCTCGGGACTAGTAGCTGCGACACCCGCCTCCGGATTTATCTCTCCCTGGGCCAGCGTCATCCTCGGCATTGTGACCGGTATTGTTTGCAATTACTCCACCAAGATCAAGTACTGGATCCGGATCGACGACTCTATGGATGTGTTGGCGGAGCACGGCATCGCTGGGATTGTTGGACTGATTTTCAACGCCTTATTCGGCGACGACGCCATTGTTGGCCTGGACGGCGTCAACACCGGCACCGGTGTCGGTGGCTGGGTCATCCACAACTATAAGCAGCTGTACATTCAGATCGCCTATATCGTCGCTACCGCCTCCTACAGCTTCGTTATGTCCGCCATTATTGCCTACGCAATCAATGCCATCCCGGGCCTGAACCTGCGCGCCTCCGAGGAAGCCGAGCTGCTCGGCATGGATGACGACCAGCTGGGCGAGTTCGCCTACGACTACGTCGAGGTCCGTCGTGACTACCTCGCTTGGACTCCGCAGAACCATGACCAGCTCGAAGACGGCCACCAGGTCCCTGCTGCGCAGCGCTACGGCATCGGCGAACACAGCGAGATGATGCTCGGTGGTCCGCCGCGCGAGGTGATGCTCGAGGGCCACGCGCCCAGTGGTGAGACCAGCCAGAGCAGCCGCGGCACCAGTGAAGGTGACATCGCTATGCACGAAGTCAAGCTCGCTCCTCGCCAGCTCGCTGAGCAGCATCCTCCCGATACGCAGGCTGCTGAACCAGTGGTGCTGAGACCGGTCCAAGAGAAGACGGAGAACTAATCAGTTCCACTACATTCTCTGCTCTCTTGCCCTTTTTTCCGACCATTTCCCTCCCATCTCTTTTGCATGGCATACATTTCGCATACGCCATTCCGTCCAGCAAGCTTTGGTTTTCTTCCCGTTTACGCTTCTTTATCTCGATATCCCTTGAGCGTGCTTCTTTTCTTGCAACAAAAAGCCTGGGGCTTTTGCTATACCTCCATCCTACCCTTCCACTTTCGATACCTCCGCCACCAACTCTATACCACCGATTTCACCTACCATCCATCTCGCCCTCCGTTATTCACCTTTCCCTCACCCTCATGCTACTCGCCACCTCCAAACCAAAACACAACTCCCTCGGGAAAAGCAACTTGAATTATGGTCTAATTTGGCCTGGCGCTCCATGATTCTATGTTTTTTATGGCCTTGAAATGGTCCAACGGGGATATTAAACTGGGTTTTGTACGTGTATACAAGCTGCTTCATTGAATTGCAAGGGAAATAATACCTTGCTTTTTTTGCGCCTGCAGTATAGAGCGAGACACTGATTTACAAATTTAACTATTATCTAAGACTACTGTTATTATTAACGCCCCTTTGTACAATTGTAGATGGTAGATAGATAAATATGAACGTATCTTGCTGCGAGTCTACATGCAATTGTCTAGAACTCGATACGACCCCAATCCCGCACAATATAGAAGCAGAAACGGAAAAAGGAACATGATAGGCGAGGCCTTCCTTAGCGGTAGTTAAAGAGTCTTCTTTCACCGAGGCCTCCCATTTCCAAATTTGAATTACAAACATCTCACGCCGCAAGTATTGTCTTTTATATGCCCTAAACGGTATGATATTTCCTTCGGTTATCCGAGGTACCACTAATGTTGCGACATATCCTTTAAATCCCTATTGGCGAACTTGTCTTTGAGTGCAGGTCAATTATGTATAGGGCTATTACGATACAAATGGACAAAGCACACATCAAACAATCAAACCTATACAAAATCTCCATCAAGACAAGACCTTCCCCTCCTATCTCCTAACCATCCCCCTCACCCTAATCAAATCCTCCCTCCCAAGCTTCTCAACGACCTCCGCCGCAACCCCACCCCTCCGAACCTCATCCCACTCATCCTCATCCATCCCCATAACAAGCGTCATCTGCACACACCGCGCAAAGCACTCCCGATACCGATACCTCCCTGGCGCACCAGCAACATACCCAACATCAACCGCAGCCCCAACAAGACCCGCAACATCCCTCTCAAGACGCGCCGCGCCCAGCGCGTTAATCCGCGTCCCGTAAGACCAAAGCCTCTTCTCCAGTAGACGCGCCAGGTACGCGACCGTCACGCCGAGGACGCGGTCGAAGGCGGTCGGCGTGAGGATCCGCGCGAACGGTGTTAGGAGGTCGTTCCATAAAGTCGTGAAGCGCGGCTTGACGAGTTCTTTGTCGAAGGTTGTGGGATTGTCGGCTTCGAGGTTGGGGTTTGGCGCGTATTCGATGTCCCGGAATGTGTCTGCGAGGATGGGGCGGAGACGTGGTTTTATTGCGTTGTTGAAGATTACTTGGATTCCGTCCGTTAGGAGGTCGGTTACTTTGCTTTCGAATGTTGTGCAGAGGGTTTGGAGGGTTCGGTGGACTTTTTGGGCGGTGCTGGGGCTTGCGAAGATTGCGAGGAGGTGGGCGTTTGCTTGTGTAGTGGAGGTGGTGTTGGTGTTGTCTGTTGGTTTTGAGCCCGTGTTGTTTTGCACGATTCGTCGGATGTAGTCGACCCCCATGTCGAGGTTGTTGATTTGCACTAGGAAGGAGATTGTGGTTTGTTCTGCGGGTTGTCCGCCTTGTACTGGGGCGCGTGGGTAGCACTCGTCGCGCATCTTGCGCTGTGTCATACCGATGAAATCCGAGCCTAGCACGCGTGAGAGTGTCGGGACTACGTTTGTCACGACTGCTTCTTGTGAGGTTGCGAGTGACTGCTGGATGACTTTGTTGACGATGTACATTATGTCGTCGACGGCTGAGGTGATGTGCGGTGGGTCGGCTTTCAGTGGACGCTGGGGGTTCAGCGTGAGGCCTGATGGGGACTCGTCTAGCTGGAAAGCCTTTTCGACAGAGCGGCGGAAGAAGAATGTTGTCATCGTGTTGAATGGGGCCACTAGGCGATCATTGATCTTTTCGGCCAGCGGTGACTCTCGCAAGAAGCTGGGTAGCTCGAATCGCCTATCGTTGTCTGCATCATCCTCACCCGAAGACTACATCGAGAAGTTGTTAGTGCTGGTATTAAAGAGGCGGAGATTGCAGCTCACATTACACGTATCAGCCAGGAACCGACAGTACAGTGACCACCGGCCCAACATGATAGCCATTTCATTCAAGACACCATCGATCTCCTTCATATCCACCCCTTCCTCGTCGGTGGCAGCGCTCGCCCCAGTGGCAGGAGATTGTGAGCGAGGCGGACCTGGTCGCTGCGCCGGCAGGAAGCTCTGCACCAAGAAAGTGAAAGCATAGGATTTGATATCCATCAGTTTGCGATCGACATGTCGCTCATCGCTCCAAGTATCAAGAATGATACCACCCTGCACATCAGCCTCGACCTGTAGCCGTTCAATGACCCGTCCCATCTTGCGGGGGCCATAGTGGTGCTCAACGAGCCCGCCATGGCCATCAATAATCTGCGCAATATGTTCAAACAGCTTGGTAAGCGCATTGGCATAGAAGAACCCATCCTTAGTCTGAGCACCCCCGGTAGCCCCGTTAAGGTTAGCCCGAGCCTTGGCCGCAACACCCTGACACACATAACGACCATAAACGTCGAGTCCAACCTCGGAGCGACCAATAAGTGGGAAGAGCTTGAAGAAGCGCGTAATCTTGGCCCCGTCATTCTCCTTAACCGCCTTCTCAAACTCACGCAGGAACAGCCCGCACAGCGACTCCGCCGCGTTATCCAGCGTCACACTTGGCGGGTCCGGCACTTCAGCCGTAGGAACCATCTCCGCAGCAAATGCGCCATCGACAACCGTCGCCGGGATTTGAGCTGCGCGGTGCAGGTAGCTGGCGGCTTTCTCCCAGTCCTGGGGCGCACCCATCGATCCCGCCACGCCCAGCGCACACGCCTTGAGCTCGGCAACTTGCTCAACAACCTCAAGCGTGGCTTTCACTCGCGCCTGTTCGAGATCCAGCCGGCGGACCGCGCTGGAGATCCGGTCGGCGGTGCCGGCGGCTTCAGAGAGCATTCCGTGGCTGATGGACCGGGTCGTGCTGGCGTGGGCACCGATGTTGGCGCGCATCAGGTCCAGCCGGCCCAACTCACGGGAGAGGTCTTTCTGGGATGTTACCAGGGCATCGAGGCGGGCGGTCACAGACGCTTCTTGGGTATGCAGATGGGACAACGTGGCTTTGATCTCGGCGACGGAGCTGGCGTTGAAGATGTCGGGCTGTGGAGATCGCTCTGTTGGTGAGACATTGATGTTCGGAGGGCTTTGGGGCATTGAATTATGCCCATTGGCGGTTACAGCCATTCTGGGCGCCAAATTGTCGCAAGTTGGTTTGTTGACACGCCAGGTTTTCCCATTTCGTTTGACCGCCCGGCTCACCGCCGGCTTTTTATTATCTGCCAACTCTAAATGCATGGAACGTTGACATTCGGCTATATCCTTCGAATTACAGTCGCAACAAACTGGCGGAATTGAGGGTCTTATCCTCTCCTTCTGGGAGGTATCTTGCGTAGATATTCTTCGTATGCCGAATTGCCTTTGATGAGATCCGTCCCCAAGTAATTTGTATAGCGATCCAGCCCTGGTTGGCCTTTTGATTTTCTCGTTCTCAATCTTATACTAGATCTTTGCGAACCGATTTTTGATAACACGCTTAAAAGCTCGAAGAACAACAAGTAAAATCATTTGTTGAAACCCGTAGGTCCTACTTAAGTAGCGAGATTGCGGGCGGTGAGAGGGTTTTGCAGCTGCAAGCTTCAAATTACTGTGCTACATAAAGACGGGGGTTTGAGACTCCAGCTTGTTAAAACAAATAGAACTTGCCTTACTTGTCTTGAACTTTTTCTCTGTGCTTTGTTTGTTATTTTATCTCGCGCGTCTTAATGTGGTGAATCAACTCGACGTCATTTTCCCCCACGCTCACAATTCCATATATCAGTTGCTCATTTTCTGTTTCTCTTTTATTTCTGTGACCCTTCTCTGTTTCTCTTGACTACTTTATCTACAAGTCTCAAGACTTAACTTTCTCCTGTCAAGTCCTCAACTGCCATTATCGGACGTCGCAAACCCAGACGTCCAAACCCGGCGCATCATGGGCAACGAATCATCGACCGAGGTGGATGAATTCGCGACCCCGTTGGTACTTGAGGCGCGCAATATCGAGGCGGTCGCCAAATATGTTAAACAACACAATGTGAAGAAAGTTGTGGTGATGGTATGCGTGGATCCCCATGAAATAGTGCGAAGCTAACCAAGCATGTAGGTGGGAGCGGGCATCAGCACTTCGGCGGGCATCCCGGACTTTCGCTCACCTGACACGGGGATCTACGCCAACCTGGCAAATCTAGATCTACCAGAGCCCGAGGCGGTCTTTGATATTAGTTTCTTCCGGCATAACCCCAAACCTTTCTATGCGTTGGCGCACGAGCTGTACCCAGGACGCTATCGCCCGACCATCGTGCACTCATTCATCAGACTGCTCTACGAGAAAGGGATGCTCCTGAAGCACTTTACTCAAAACATTGACTGTCTCGAGCGCCAGGCAGGCGTGCCAGGCGAAAAGATCGTCGAGGCCCATGGCAGTTTTGCGACACAGCGCTGCATTGAATGCAAGGAGACCTTCCCAGACGACGAGATGCACGAGATAGTATCCAAGGGCGACGTACCCCACTGCCACAAGTGCAACGGCCTCGTCAAGCCGGACATTGTGTTCTTCGGCGAATCTCTACCATCAGACTTCTTTGACAGCCGCTCTCTGCCAGAAGAGGCTGACCTCTGCATTGTCATGGGAACTAGTCTGT